CCATTTTGTGTAAATCTTTCCATATTATGAATACTTCGAAGATTTACCTGTTCAATGACGTCTTGCGTGAGTTCTCCAAGCAATGCTCGCATGGTTCGAGGACTCAGCTCCGTCATTGGTTCGTAACGGCTGTTACTGCTCTGATTTTGTCCATCTGTTCGTGGAGAGGCATGCTGCTCCTCATATCGCTCGATTACAGACTGGATTCCTCCTTGACTTGCTCCATCCTTGTCGGATCTCTGAGGCATATTGTTTCACCTTTTGTACTTTCAACACCTAACACCACTCGTCCCACTGGGCGTGCCAAATTGTTTCGCGCGGGTTAACTCGCTAACAATTAAAGGGGATCAGACGATTGTGTAAGGGACGAAACCTCTTGAGACAAAGTCCCAAAAAGGGGTGTTCTTTTATTGGCGATGAACTTTACAATTGGAAACGAAAAACAACGTGCCTCCAAGGGGCGTAAGCACACGAGTTACAGAAAGGAAAGTATTTAAGTCTAAAAGCTAAAGAAATGAAAATTACATATTCTCTTGTTCGAGAGTTTTGGATTCGGTCCTTTGCTTCTACGCCTTTTCTCCCTTTTATACCTCATAGACGATCTCTTTGTGATTAACTACTCTGAAAACTGCTTGATCGTCCTATAACTACCCACTTTCTTTGTAGTGGCCATTTTGTCATGAAACCGCCTTTTAACTGCTGCCATTATCTTTCATCGTCCAACTGCTTTCTATTGACTTCCTTGAGTTGTGGAACGTGATAAGGCTACTTTAACAACTGCCTTGATAACTGCATTCCTTGATAATCACGATGCGTTATGTTTATTGACACCTTGGGCGACTTGAAGGTTTGGGCGAGAGTAGAACAACAGCTCTGGGCGACCGTATGACACTCGTTCGTTCAGATTCTGAGCGACTTGAAAACTTGGGCGATGGCATTACCGCATTCTTGAGCCTCTTGTTTGGGCCTTCACCTTGACTCGTTTGATTGGACTTCATTCTTTGGGCCGTCTGTTTTGGGGATTCTCCCATTGGGCTTTACTCCTTGGACTGTTCGACTTGGGCTGAATTTTTATGTGTCAACAACCCCTTTAGAAGTATTCACCCCCGATCCAATGTGTACCAGTTAAACGGTCATTTGTTGATATTGAGAAAATCAAATCACAAATCTTGAAAATAAAATGCGATTCTTAGGAAGAAAAAAAAATTATATTCAACAAAAAAAAAAAAAAAATTCTGGGTCGATCCATTTAATCTTAGTCCAATTATTCATTATTAATAGAACATTAAGAAGTTCACGATAAAGCTAAATAGAAGGTTAATGGGAAGGAATTGACGTTATAAAGGGGTTAGTGTATGTTAAAGTTTAACAACAACTACAATGGACATGACGCTTATGGAGTGATCGATTATATAATATTATTTGACTTAAATGACTAAAATGTGGAAAATATATTTTATAGACCAATTGGAAATTTTGCTTGAACTTCATTGACTGCATGAAATAAATTAGTCCTTAATTTGTTCATTATCTTTATAAAAACAAGCAATTTCTAGGGAACAATTTTTGTTGGGAAGAAAATTTTAGTATTTTGTATTTGAACAGATTAGAATTATTAAATATTGAATTCTATGTGAAAACCACATCAATAATTAAGATAGTTCAACGGGTTTGTATTATTAAGTATTAAATTCTATGTAATTGTACAACTAAAATAAGAGGGGGAATATGTTTAAAAGATGGGGGAAATCAGGGCAAAATTTCATAATATTTCAACAGTTTTGCTAGTGGTACATTGGGTTGTACCTAATGATGTACATCCCACTCATAAGGGCAAAGGATCCACTCGAATAAAATATCATTTCTTTCATATGGGTCCCACACCCATGTTAGTGGGGTGTACACTATTCGGTACACCCCATTATGTACCACTAGACAAATTTATATTTCAATTACTATAGTTTTGAAACTTCAATCTTTAAACTTGAAGTTATGGGTCTTTAAATAATCCATGAATTTGAACAAAAACCTTCGACCTAGATGTTAAATTCGTAAACGTATTTTACACCACTTAAAATTAAAGGGCAAAATTGTCAAATCACTTAATGTCCATCTTCAAGTAACGTGAAAGTTGCATTTAATTTTAACGAGTATATCAATATGTTTCTCGTTTAGGAATTTAAATGATGTGAATTTAAGTAGGTTGACGGTCCAGAATTTTATTTGTAAAGGTTAGGACTGAAACCACACTACTTGAAATGTTGAAAGTCTAAACCAAATTTTTCCTAAATAAAAGATTGATAATTGACTACTGGCGACTAACTTGCTAATGGAATAGTTCCCTGACAACCCATAGTGTAAATGCAATACTTTGACAATACTTTGCCACCAAACCCAGAAAAGTAAAATAGTTATGCAAATGCAACAAGTAAAATATTTGACACATTTTTTATAAAATAATACTCTGGCAAATATTCATTGATTTTGGACTGAATATTGATGGAAATTGCACATAGACAGGGAATTATTCGAAAAGTAAACCCACGTTTTTCATCTCTCTTTTTGCCTTCTCCAGTTCCACCGGCAATGAGTCATGTCGCTACGTCAACATTCTCGAACTGAATTCGACTCTCTTTTTCTCTCATTCGATTAAACCAGAAACCCACAAAAAGTTCAATTGTTGAAACCCGTTATTTTACTCTTTCCATCTGTGGTCGATCATCGATGGCGGTGTTGAGCCGCCTAATGCTGAGGTTCAGAACATCCTCAACAATTCGTAGTTTCTGCACAAAATATTCTGAAATTGACCTTACAAGAGCAGCATCAGCAGAAGCTCTTTCTTCTGCTCTTCCTGTTGAAGATTCCAAGGAGAAGGGAAGGAATGTACAGTGGGTATTTCTGGGCTGCCCGGGTGTAGGCAAAGGTACCTATGCTGTTCGATTGTCAAAACTCCTCGGTGTTTCACATATTGCCACTGGTGATCTTGTGCGCCAAGAACTATCCTCTGACGGGCCCCTTTCTTCTCAGGTATCTTTGCTTTTATTTCCCCTTGAATTTTCATGCATATTGTTGAAGATACAACATAAATGAAAACGTAAGTGCATTCTTGTGCGCCAAGAACTATCCTCGGGTTCAAGTCTTGCTGCCACCCATAAATTAAAATTATGGACTTTATAGGCTTTAGATGGTAAATTATGAACCCGGTCCGTGTATAGGTTTATTTTGCCGTATATGTATGATTATAAATATTTGTTTGATTTGTTTTAGCCCAAGTGAATTCAGTCCTGCATATGAATGTATGTATTTCTTCTCTGTCTTTATCTAGGTATTAGTTGGATAAAAGAGGACGCATATTTGTGTGTGTTCCTAGTATCCCACCTCATGTATGTGAATATTTGAGTGCATGCCGTAGATTTATTACTCGCATACAGAGGTCCAAATATGTATACATGAATCTTACTTTTTGAGAAGTGGATATGTGCTTGTTTTACTGCTTGGCTAACCAAAGCAAGAGCTTGATCAATAAGTTATGTTGCATTATTTTCAAGGACCAATTTCTACCTCTGTTCTTATTACTATACCACATTTTCTTGTCTCGTCCTTGTTGGTTTGGTTTTGTAGTTGAGTTCGTTGGGAGGATTAGAATTGTTTTATTTTTTTTATCTTGTTTATCAATATTGATATTACTATCTAACTGGGACTGAGAAGAAACTGCATTATGCAGAACTCACTTGGTAGTTCTGAAATAGTTGAGTGTCAGGGACCTTAGGAACTCCCTGAATTTGAACTATATCCTATATTTAGTACTTTTTAATTAATTCACAAAAACCTACCGCCTTGGAAGATAGAAATAGAAAGAGAGAAAAATAGTGGTGACTCGTAAATTAGAAGGACTAAACTGTATAAGTAGGAAAAGTTACAGAAGCTCACTGGAGCACTTCATGGAGATTCAATGTGGCTAAATGTAGTTCAAGACACTGCCGCTGTAGACATTCACCCATGTGCTCTGTGTTGTTTTATCCATCCTCATTTCATAGTTAAGTGCCTTAGTTCTCGGACCCATGCATGCATTCATGTCATGTATTAAACTTGAAAAGAATCTTATCAATGTCCTCATCTCCTCCAGTTTTGCTTCCTTCTATCTCTTCTGCTGATGTATTTTCTCTAATGCTCTATTTCAAAATATTTAAATAACGTGTCATAAAATTGAAGAATCTAATATTAATACAAAATGATCAGTTAAATTTAGACTCTTCAAAAGTTTTTAGAAAGTGAAACACTCAAAAGATTCTTGATCCTGTCGCTCTGCTAATGGGCTACCTGGATTGGAACTTCAGCTGTAAATATAAATTGTTTCTGTAATACTTTTGAGTCTGATTTCTATTTGTTCTCAGTTCTATTTCTGTCTAAATGGGATTTGACCCTCAATGGTTGCTCTGGTTGCCTTGAACACGTTCTGAGCTTGCCCCTATTTTGACTTCAGTTGTGTTCTTGACATGTATCAGTTGTCTTATGAAAGAATAACTCTCAAAGATTTGCAGGACACGGGTAATTGCTAGTGAGTTTTCCAATGTTTGCCCCTGATATGTATTCGATTCTGATATGCAGTCAGGTAAATGTCCATGTGAAAGGATATGAGGGTGGTTCCCTTAGATTTTGGGGAAGGGGTTGCTCTTGTCATGTTATTACTAGAATGGGAAAGATAGTTCCCAGTTATTATACCATTTAAAAATTAACGAGGCAGGATTTTTAATTTTAGAAGCAGACTTATTTCAAATCCCAGATAATATTCATTTTTAGTTACTTATCTAATTATTTACAGTCATCAAAAGAAATCATTAATTCACTAATGCATTGTTTTTTTGCTGGGAGAACACTGGTTTTATCTTACCATCTTGGTAAGTGCATTTGGTTACCCCTGGCAAATTTTGATAGCTTACTTTTGCTGTATCCCCTGCAGAGAGTCGGTTTGTGTCAACTTAACTGTACTTTGACAAGGGCATCAGGTGGGGATATTTGTCCTGCTGATGGATTCCTCAACCATCTAATCGATGGTACCGTTAAAATATCAACATTTAGAGTTTTTCTTTTACTTTTATGGTAACGTGTCAAATGTTTCAAAATGCATATTCAACTTTATTGAGATATCAAACATATTGGTCCACTTTCTATGTGTAAACTAATTGTAAAATCACTGATCACACTGTGTCCCATGCCCTTAACCTTCTTACCATTTCCATGGTCCATTTGAACTCATTTCCCTCCATTTTTTGAAGCAGAACCAATTCTCCACATTTCCAGAACCAAAACCTTTAGTTTCGGATCATCAATTTTGCTCTAGAATAATCATGTTGGGTTAAGGTTGGACAAAACTCCTGAATCGAATCGGACCCCAACTAAACTGAGCCTTTCTTCTTAAGTTAAATACCTGAACGGGTATCTGAATTGAGAATTAACGGGTTCAGTTCGGTTCTCGATTCTAAATCAAAAATTGAAGAACCGTATAAGAAACAAATCTTTCTATTTTTTTAATTTATTTATTTTAAATAAGCCAAATTATTTTTTCTAAATAAATTTGCTAACTAGTTAATTTAGCTCAAACCTTAAAATATGATTTTTCTATTTTTAATTGTTAGTTCAAGCCCAACTTAATCAAATTGACCTAAATTTTACCCCAAATCTAATATTCTACTGAAGTGTCGTTTCTACTGTTTTGGAGAAATTAAATTGAAGCTCGATAGTTCATCTCTTACTTATTGTAAGTTCGCTATCATCATTTTCCTGTGATTTTGACAATCAAAATTATGAAAAACTCAGCAAAGCGAAACGCAAAAGACATATAAGATTGGACTACGTTATTTTGTAAGAGCTAAAATTGAATATGTCATTAGTTGAATTAAATTAGTTTTGTAAATATTAAAAAATTAATTATAGTACAGAACATGAGAACCAAATCGAATCGAATGGAACCGAACCCGAACGATTTCATAATTAAATTTGAATCCAACGGTTTCGTTAGTTAAATACCCGAAAATTTCGGGTCCAGCTCGGTTCTCATTAGAATCGAACTGGACCATGCCCACCCTAGGTTGGGGTCTTTTTTTTTTTTTTTTTAAATATTGCGAGATGAGCTTTCCATATTAGCCATGTTACGGAACTGTTTACAGATTAGAAAAAATGAGAAAAAAGACGATGAATCCTTAATTGGACACTTTGGTGACGGTGGAGAACTGTGCTGCATTTTATACTTGTTTTCTTATTATTTTAAAACTGTGTCATAGAATTTTATGCTGCACACATGAAGCATAATGCTTATGTTAAATGGGTTGTAGATAATTGTGATTAATTTATAATTGAGACATTGTATCATATTTAGATCACTCCTTAGATACATAGTCCATAATTAGGATGATTTATTTCTCTCTTAATTGGGGGATTATTTTCCGTTGCTGTCATATCGATTGTAGTATAAATATTGGGCTGTAGGATTGTAAAATAATCAATAAATACAGAATTTCTCTTTTGATTCCATGGTATCTAAGCTAGGTCAATCCTAAACCCTAGCTATCTCAATGGTGGAAATCGTCGTCAATATCATAGAATTTATGCCCTTCGGATTACTTAGCGACGAGACAGAAGGTGCCTCTACCATGAATTCGATTGCAATGGACAATTCATCCTTTCAACTCAGGATGGAAAAACACAATGGAAGAAACTATCAAGAATGGGTTCAATCAATCAAGTTAGTGGTTGACAAGAAGGGAAAAATTGGTTTCCGTTTGATGGTTCCAACCCATTTCCAAACACATTCAAATTCTACGCACTAATAACGACACAAAATATTTCAATAATACTCTAAAACACTACCTTCCAAAGAATTGGATCGTTTACCAAAGTTCATGTGTCGACACACTCCAACAAAATGGGATTGTCGAACGAAAAACTTGACACAAGTTGCTCGTGCTTTAATGTTCACCACAAATCTGCCTAAAATGTTTTGGGGAGATGCTATAACATCAGCTTACCTCATAAACAGAATGCCTACTCTCTCATTCGAATCTCCTCTTCAAAGATTCCAAAAATTCTTCCTTAATTCCCGCCTAAATTCTAACTAGCCTCTTAGAGTGTTTAGATGTTCGACATTTGTCCACATGAATTCCTATCATCGAAATAAACTTGATCCCTGGGCACTTAAGTGTGTCTTTGTTGGATATTCATTAACTTAAAAGGCTATAAGTGCTATGATCCGACTACAAAAATGGTATTTGTTAGCCTTGACATCACATTTTATTGAGAAGACTCCTTATTTTCAAAAAGCATCTCTTTAGGTGAAGAATTTGAATGAAGATCAATTCTCGAAAGTCACTTTTCCCCCCTCTAAACCCTTCCTAAACACTAACCAGTCACACCAAACTCAAACTTAGGGGAAGGAAATGTGGAAAAACAAAATTACAATGAGATATTAGTTTACTCACGGAAGTCAAAATCAAGGTACGAGGAGAACCTCACACCTGCAGCACAAAGAGAGTTAGACCCAGTGATAGCCTTATATTCCCATGAGAACTCTTCCAAGTCTGAATCTCTTGATATTAATCTCCTTATTGCTCTCAGGAAACAATCTCGATTATGTATTCTCTACTCTCAAAATTTATATTTTATAATGCCCTATCTAAAAACTTTCATGCTTTTACCTCTAATCTTAACTTTTCAAAAGTTTCAAGGAATGTCCAGGAGGCCTTGGAAATTCTTAAATAGAGGAAGGCAGTAATGGAAGAAATGTCGGCACTAGAAAAAAAAACTTGAGATGTGATGGAGTCATCAAAAGGAAAGAGATTTGTTGGTTGCAAATGGGTTTTATTGTGAAGTATTAAAGCTGGTGGGACATTAGAACATTACAAGACTCGCCTCGTTGCGAAAGGATATACCCAAATTTATGGCATTGATTACATAGAGACGTTCACACCCATAGATTTATATTGGCCAATCCAATAATTGGATATTAAGAATGCATTTTTGAATAGGGAATTAGAAGAAGTCTTTATGACATTACTACTAGGGTTTTATAAAAGGAATGAAGAAAACAAAGTGAGTAAACTCAAAAAATTTCTATACAGTATCAAATAGTCACCAAAAGCATGGTTTGACGGATTTGCAAAGGTGTTGAAAAGTCAGGAATATCGACAAGAATAATTAGATCATACCATGTTCTTCCAACTATAGGAAGATGGGACTAGGACAATCTTAATTGTATATTCTGATGACATAATCCTTATTAGAGATAATAAAGTTGAATGGAAAGACTTAAGAGAAGCCTAGCTACAAAATTTAAAGTGAGAGACATTTTTTTGGGAATGGAAGTTGCTAGATCTAAAAGAGGCATAAGTATTTTCCAACGAAAATACGTTCTTGACCTTCTAATTGAAACTAGCTTGTTGGTTTGAAAACTAAACGACACTCCTATTGATATAGGTAGAAAACAAAAGAATTTGGAAACCCCGTTGACAAAGACCGATTTCAACAACTGATTGGCAAGCTAATTTAAATATTACACACCAAACCCAACATTGCATTTGCAAGCAATGCAGTAAGTCAACATATGCATTCTCCAAATGAAGTTTATCAAGAGGTAGTATACAAAATTCTCAGATATGTTAAATGTTCCTCGATAAGAGGACTTTCCTTCAAGGAAAATGAAAGGAAGTAGAAATATTCACAGATACTGATTGGGTAGGATCAATAGAAGATTGGAGGTCAACCACTGGGTATTGTACATTAGTATAGGGGGACTTGGTAACTTGGAGAAATAAGAAACAGAATCTGCTTGCTAGAAGCAGTGTCGAAGTTGAGTTTAGAATAGTTGTACTAGGGATATGTGAAGGACTGTGGTTAAAGAAACTCATGAAAGAATTACATATTACTATAAAACTTCCAATCACTCTATTGTGACAATAACATCTCTCTTAATCCAGTTCAACATGACTGAACTAAACATGTAAAAGTTGATCGACACTTTATCAAAAAAATGTTGAAGATTGAGTTATTTGTGTGACTTAGCTGGGGCAGTGATCTTTGTGGTAGCGGGGGTAGAATTCGAAAGGCTGGCCGGGGTTGTGTCCTTCCGAACGAACGAGGTCGGCTCGATGATTAAGGGTTTGCGCAGAGGTCTTACAGAGCCATGTGCTTGGACATCACTTCTTAATTTCTCTGCTTTTTTGAGGTTCGTGTTAAGGCATATATGTCGAACGGATTCACAATAAAAAATCATCAAACGAGATCGTCCCACAAAAGAATAGACCGTGGATATCTTCACCAAAGGACTACCACGACAAAGTTTCGATAATTTCATCGGCAAGTTGGATTTGATCAACGTTTATCTAACTTGAGGGGGAGTGTAAATAATTGTGATTGATTTGTAGTTGATACATTGTACCATATTTAGATCATTCCTTATATAGACAGTCTATAATTAGCTTCTCTCCTAATTGGGAGATTATTTTCCTTCTCTGCACATCAGATGTCGTATAAATATTGGGCTGTAGAATTGTAAAATAATCAAGAAATACAAAATTTCTCTCCTGATTTCATAGGTAATGTACACTTTGGAGAAGGCAGTATTTGTTACATGCGGGCATTGTAGTTATGACATGCATTTCTCTTTTGGTTGTTCAAGATATTAAAGTAATTTTATTTTTTCAATGCTTTTCGATCATACTAATCCTATACGTAGGACACTTCCCTGACTGAACGTGATTTAACTGAAAAACTGGTGTATCCGATTCTCAAATGGAATATGGGAAACAATAGATGCGTGTGAAAAATATTGCATTGCATTTACTTACAAAAATTATACTTGACAAAGAGTTCTTTAAAAAGTAATCAAGGGACTAACTAGTAGATTTATCTCATATCTTTAAACTTTGTGTTGTAGTTGAAGTATACTTGATTCTTGAGTACCTATACGCCTAACATTATGTTGAACTACTTCATCTAAAAGTTTAAGCTTTTACATAAATGACTCATTTATTTATTTGAGTTTTGTCTTTGACACTTTTGTTTCCTTGTGCATGTATAAGTACTTATGCGAGAATTTATCTAAACATGTCTATAAATTCATTTGTTTCTACGAACTCCGTGTGCTCATTCAATAGATCTCACATCCTAATATTTTGTGGAAATTCCGGGCTGAAAATTCTGTTTCTTGAGTCATGCCCATGATTTTGGAGCAATTAAGGAGTCTTGCAAGTTATTATCATAGATTATTATTAAATATAGCATCTTTGGCTCCCTTGTTATTTCCTGTTCTATTTTGCCGTATCTTATATTTATCATCTGTTTTCTTCAACAGCTTGCAGAGATTGTTAATCAAGGGAAGTTAATTTCAGATGAAATTATAATAAATCTTCTATCCAAGCGTCTTGAAGAAATTCAAGCTAAGGGTGAGACAGGATTTATTTTAGATGGCTTTCCTCGGACTGTCAGACAGGCGGTGAGGATTAAGTTTTCGATGTTGTGGCAATACCAAAGCATAATATTGCATTTACATAGTTACTGATTGGCTGTATATGAATATAATTTCTATCACAGATCTGGATCAGCAAGCTTCCTTTTGTACAATATAGACCAGGACGTTTACTTTTTATTTTTGAAACTAAGCTTTTTTTGCTCAAGTTCGCCCTGCTTTAGAACATTTGGCTGTTGGAATGATCTTTTATCTTGCATTCTTCTTTTCACGAGAAAGCACCAGAAATGCATAATTCAAGTTTAGTAAATATGAAGATTCTAACTTGCTCAAGTTAATCCCTTATCTGCCTAGCTTTTCTATCATATAATATCTTCAGCAGTGTAGTTCCCATTAAAGATAATTTTTTGAATGTGAATTTGAGAATATCTGTAAATTAGTTTCACAAGATTATCCAATTAAGTTTTTTAATAATTTTGTGCTATCGTTTGGCTGCATGTTCATGTGGTCAATGTAGCATCTTTGAGTTTAGTATGATTAAGGTTGTAGAAGACATTATCTTGTTGATGACTTGAGAGATCCAATGTAAATCCAACTTTCGATTCACTTGTGGGATTTGGGCGGTCCAGGGCGGGGAGGAAGGGGGGGCACCGAGAAGCGAGGACTAATAGACAAAGAAGAATTGAATGTGCCCCTCTACCATATCTGTACAAATAGAATAGCCCATTTATACAGAATGGTACGCGGCATTTATTTCACTCAAGAATGGGTCTCTCTACTAGGTGTTTTGCCCGTGGCTTCAGGGGGTATTCACGTTTGGCATATGCCTGCTCTGACTGAGATCTTTGGGGATGATTCCATACTACTGTTTGGTGCCTTATAAGTGAATTGATGTAGAAACATAGATATTTGGGGAAGCTAGATATGTGAAATCTTTGTGGAATACATGTTAATTGGAGACCTTATAACATTTATACTTATTATAGACTGTATTTTACACTTCTTAGTCTCTTACACTATTTCCGGGTTCCCGCCAATAGTCAGGATAAATTGATGATCGTAAAGGTTTTTTGAATTTAATTAGTTTAGCTTTAAAACATAAAATGGATTGTACGATGGAGGTTTCAGTTAGTCATATTTTACAGTGATTCAAGAGACTTCTTTTTACAGTATCTTCAACATTGAAGCTCATGATACTGTATTCTCTAACTTCTTAGAAATACCATTGTGTTGGCCAAGATGGTAGGTTGTTCTTCCGGATGAGCTCTTTCAGATATCTCACATAGTTGTCAGGATACATTTCATTAAATTAGTCAGCACACTGACAATTTTTCCAGTAAAAAATTTACCTAATCCCTTTGTCAATCTCCTCTGTCACATGTTGTCAGTCTCTGTCAATTAAACTGCTGTAATTTTGTGATTTTCATGTCCACCAATCATTTCCTGTAGAACTTAAGCACTTTCAACACTTTAAGGTAGATTATCACTTGTAAAATGCTTAACTTTTCATGAACCTAAGCTTGTAGATCACTCTGTCCTTGGTACTTTTGAAATTTATCAACATTTGGATTCTTTGAAATATATGCAAAAACCTCCAATTTGACAGCCATTGGACAGGCTATTTTGGTGATTTGATTTTAGTAATATAAAATTATGAGATAAATTTGGATCTTGCTGCCTGTCATGCCCATTGTATACCCTGGTCTCAGACAGATACTATCACAATAATGCAAGTTATTCTACTGATATTTGTCAGTCTTCTTATTTTTTGCTCAGTTGAATTGTTTTTTGCTTATAAATTTTTTTATCATGTGAGTCCAATTTCCATTTTGGATGACATGATTGACTACCCAAAAGAACAGTCATCTCATCACCAGCGTTGTGCTTTTCGTCTGTTTTTCGATTGTGTAGGAAATCTTAGAGGGGGTAACAGACATTGGTTTGGTAATTAATCTGAAGCTTCGCGAAGAAGCATTGATTGCAAAATGTCTTGGAAGAAGAATTTGCAGCGAGTGTGGAGGGAATTACAATGTTGCCTGCATTGACATCAAGGGTGAAGATGGAAGCCCAAGAATGTACATGCCTCCTCTTCTTCCTCCTCCAAATTGTGAATCAAAATTAATCACACGATCCGATGACACGGAAGAAGTTGTTAAAGAACGTCTTCGAGTCTACAATGAGAAGGTAAAACTTCATTTTCTTAAAAGTCTCACTAGTTGCATCTTTCTTTGGATGAGATTTTTCATGTTTCTTCTGCGTTTTGTTCTGAAGCAAATATTGATAAATCATCATGCAGAAGGAGATTATACTTCCGAAGTAATTGAAAAGCATTTGATAAAATAACTACCTGTAAACTATGATGATTTGTCAAAAGGAAGAAGGGAAGACACCTTTACATTATTTAGCGGCACCAGATAAAATGTGAAATTATGTATACGCTAGTAATTTTATAGGGTTATGTTTATCTCACACGATTCTTTTATGAGTCTACAGCAGAATTTCAACAGTACTATGGTTGTTTCTGAATAAAAATACCATGGTTAAGCAGTATTTCTAGGTCCTTCAACTTGATGATGGATGAATATATATCATAAACCTCCCTCCCTCCCTCCCTTTGTGTTGCCTCTATAGATTTAAAGATCTATTTCATCTTGTATGCACCTCACAATAATATACTACTAACTGGACCTAGCAGTAGGGCTGCTTTGAGAATTTTGGTTGGTAGTGGTATATTTTCATCACTTCTGAATGACTTTTTGTTGCTACTTGACAGAAATGAGTGAATTACTCATTCTAAAATTGGAAAGAAGATCAAACTATGATAACCAGTTAATTTAATAGTAAACTCTATTTGGTAATCCATAATATTTTGTATTTTGTAATGCCATAACCTGCAGAGCCGACCTGTCGAGGAGTTTTACCGTGCGCGTGGAAAATTGTTGGAGTTTGATCTTCCTGGAGGAATTCCCGAGTCCTGGACGAAGTTGCTTCAAGCCTTAAATCTTGATGATCATGAAGACAAAAAATCAGCTGCAGCTTGAGTTCGGAAATCATTCGGGTAGGTTCTCTAGGTATTTTAATCATTCTTTGCATGTGAAAATACACATGCATATTACTCTTAACAATAAAATTACTTTGGTCTGTGCAAATATTAAATTATTGTGGGGAGTCATGGAGTTGAGCAGGTCTTATTAATTTAGGTTTAGCACGATGCATCTCTGTGTCACAATTCATTGAAGTTTTAGCTGCCAATTCGTGTATTTTTAGGCAACATGGTGGTGGGTGGATCTACTTTACAAACATTTACATGTCACAACTATATATATATATATATACACACACACACACACACACACACACACACACACACACACAGAGGAATGATCTCTTAAGCACCGGTAACACGACACAATATTTAATTGGTGAATCATTAAATATATAGGATCTACCATTAATTTATTCATCAATTAAATAATGTACCATGTCATCGGTGCTTAACATAAGTTTAGTACCGGTGTTTAGGAAATCATTTTCGCATATATATATATATATATATATATATATATATAGAATGGTGCTCTTGTTTCTTCTTTTTGATTCCGTATTTCACTCTTAACCGTAAAAAGGCGCATTTGTCACATTGAATTGAAGATGAGATGATGTGACAATTTATTTGTATGTTGAGTTCGATACCACATCAAAAATATGCCCATATGTTCTTAAAAGTACAAAAATAAGTTTCGTCAATTTTTTTTAATTAATTAATTTATTTATTTATTCAAATCAAAACACCATTCGACGCTAGGCTGGGTGTTTCTGGGTATTAATACTCTTCGTGTCATTCGAAAGGACACCAACTCCCCTTCCCGTTGAAGAAGTTACCCTCTGTTATATTAACACCTATTTTCTATCTCGAATACTACGCATGTCTATTTGCGAGGATAATGATTTTTCCCTATGATGCTTATGATGTAAAAAATTTAAAATGAATGTCTAACCTAAAATTTGGGCTTGCCAATTTTTTATTTTTATTTGTTTTTTTTTTATTTTTAAAAAAAACAAATAGAAGTTTATATTAGATAAAAGATTCGAACTCTATACTATACCTAACACCAAACTTTTTCCATTTTCTGTACTATGATAAGAGGTATTTAATTTTCTGCATTAAATATGGTATATGAAAAAATGAAATTAAAGAACCAAATGATTAATAAAAAAAAATTAGTTTAGTCTATCTATGACGCTTGGAGCTCATCTGTTGGTTAGGTGGTCACCTTCATTAGGTTGTTCAAATCACACTTTTTCGGAAAATGTCCTTTGCACAGATAATTTTTCATAGAACTACTGTAGGGTAGATATATGGATGTGGACCCTATGTGAATATTTTATTGGAATGGGTCTCATTATTGTGTCTATTCTGTAAAACATCTGTATAAATTTTTTCTGTAAGTGTAGCATCTTTCTACTTTTTCACATGCTCACTAACCTTTTTGTGACGTGACGGCCCTTTTCTGTCGCCACGTGGTTAAGATGATATTTATTTGCTCCCTTTAAGAAGACAAGATAATCGAATGTTTCTAAATCCTCTGTTGGTAAATTTTCTCGTAATCCAGGTAATCTCCAAGTGAAGTGGTTAGCTCATAAGGGTTCAGCCCGTTGAGCTAAGACAAGCCAATTCGTATTTTAAGCAGATATGAATTTTACTTCTTCTCTGGTTCGTTCCATTCTTGGGCGAAGCTCATGTGAAAGTGGTCTTATAGCTTCTCCATTGCAAAGTGACTTTGTCATAGCTTGCCCTTTCCTTAGTTTGCAGTGATATCATTTTGGTTGGTCGCTTGCTTGACTATACGTGGGTCAAGTATGGCATGAACAACCAATCTTATGTCACGGAATCACGTAATAACAATAATCTTTCAAGTTCAAGTCTATATATTTATAGTAGGTGATGGAGATATGCTGAGAGAGATTTTTGTTTTTAGAAGGGTGACGACAAAATCATATTGATACCGATCCACGTGACAATGGTAGCTATGAAATCTACACAAGATTGATTCAACCCAAGAAAGCCAAGAAATCAAAGTTTAGAGTTTTATCCAAAAATATTACCAAAGAACCAATACAATCGGCAACAATATTCTGACCTATTAATCACAAGACTCAATAATCTTATCCGGATTGTTTAAATACCACAAGAAACAAATCTTGATTAGTTTGGAATTAGTTTAACGAAAAACAAAGATTGAAAGCAAAATATGCTCACAAATTAGTCTCCCAATTGTGTTTATGAATAATTTTTCTACAATGAAATAATAAGTTCTATCTATAGGAGGCTCATAAAACCATAGTTGACACGAAATAGAACCCTAAAGTTTACAAAAGATACACAAAAAATAGTGTTTTAATATAAATAGGAGATTACACGAAATGTCAGAAAATCAGCGTCCAGATTGTACTATGCGGCTGCATAGTACTAAGGGTTGTGGTTGCATAGTTTAGTAAATTTCACGAGCTGAATTTTCTGTTTGAGGGCATGCGACCACATACCTGACACAACTATGCCCTATTCCATTTGTATGAAGGAAAATGGCACTAACATCATGCACGAGAGCAATTAAAGAACTGCAACAAGCAGTGGAAGAAATGAGACAAGTTTTAATGGCGCAAGCTACTCCGGTAGCACCTATGAATCTGATAGGGCAAGGTGTACTGACAATGCCACCCATCGCAACACAAACTACCCCTAACCACCCATTGCTCCAATACCAATCATTGCTCCAACTATTTACCCTCCTAGTTTCTCGACGGCAAAGGCCCTTTGGTAGTAGAGGAATGGCTCCACTCAATTGAGAAGATCTTTCGACACATATCTTGCCCAGAAAACTAGAGGGTGCTGTATGCAAAATTCATGCTAGTTGGAGGGGCAGGCCATTGGTGGGAATCCATATCACATACATAGATAGAAGAAGAGCAATGTAATATGACATGGACCTGATTCAAGGCAGAGTTGATTGAGAAGTATTTTTCGCAAGCCCTTCGCAACCATAAGGAGACAAAGTTTTCACAATTGATATAGGATAATAAGGACATCACCAATTATGAAAGGAATTTTGAGGAATTGTGCCATTATGCCTTACATCTTGTGAACATAGAGTTCATGAAAGCAAAAGATTTGTTAAGGGACTACACCCCAAGACCAAACCGATAATGAGTTGCATGAACTCACCGCTTATCGATAAGTTGTAGAGAAGGCCCAAACCGTATCATTCTCGAGTTACAAACTTCGAAGTTAGGGTAAGGATTAAGAGCTCTGGACAATTTAAGAAGCAGAATAACGGGCCTACTAGCAGATAGTCAGACAATCATTTTCCTCCGTGCCCTAAATGCAAGAAATCTCATAGGGGTGAATGTTTGTTTGGTAAAAATGTTTGTTACAAGTGTGGCCAGTCAAGTCACTATGCTTGTGGATGTCGAGCAACGCCAACTAAGGACACTAAACAAGTAAAGAAAGGAAAGGCAGATTTTTTTTTTCTTGACACATGATGAGGCCGCCCAGGATCCAGCCGTAATACAGGTATTTTATTTGTTCATAATATTCATGTTTACATCTTTATTGATTCTAGTGCGACGCATTCATTTATATCTACCACAAGTCTAGTCAAGATCAATGTTTTATGTGAGAAAACTAGTAGTGTACTAGAAGTTAGTATGCCATTAGGAGGAATTATAGGTACAAATAAGATTGCTAAAGTAGTACAAATAGATTTTGATGGACTAATCCTTAAGGTAGATTTATATGTCATAGAATTAAAAGATTTTGACATTATTTTGGGTATGGACTGGTTAGCTAGCAGTAGAGCTACAATTGTATGTTTTGAGAAAGAGGTGATCCTCAAAAGACTTGGAGAGGAAGAGTTTAGATTTTACGGTTCAAAGATTAAGGCACTACCTCTTCTTATCTCGGCTATACAGGCGGAAAGGTTATTGAGGAAGAAAACTTGTCGAGGATATCTTGTTATCCTTGCTAGCATGCCATCAGACGAGTTAACATTAGATAAAGTGCCTATTGTATAGAATCTGATGACTTATCGGATGCCCCAATTGATAGACCAGTGGAGTTTATAATAGATTTGATCCATGTAGCCGCATCGGTGTCTAAGGCTCCATATTGGATGGCACCAAAATAATAATAGGAGTTTAAGATACCGCTGGAGGAACTTCTAAATAAAGGTTTTATCAGATCAAGCGTGTTTCCATGGGGAGCTTCAGTACTCTTTGTGAAGAAGAAGAATGATAGAACTATGAGAATGTGTATTGACTGTCGAGAGTTGAACAAGTTGATTGTCAAGAATAAGTATCCTTTCCTAAGAATTAAGGATTTATTTAATCAATTGAACGGTGCAACTATATTTTCAACTATTGATTTGAGGTTAGGCTACCTTCAACTAAATATCAAGCCGAGTGATATATCTAAGATAGCATTTAGAACTCGCAATGGACATTACGAGTTTACAATTATGCCATTAGGGCGTACTAATGCCCCTGCAGTATTTATGGATTTTCTGATAGAATATTTCATTAGTCCCCAAGCAAGTTCGTTATTATGTCTATTGATGACATACTAGTGTATGAGATTTTCAGCAACATGAAAGTCATTTGAGGACAATGTTGGGGACTTCACTTAAAGAAAAATTATACGTCAAATTTAAAGAGTGCAAATTTAGGCTAGATCGAATAGGGTTTTTGGACATATTGTGATAGCCATAGGTAGATCCAAGTAAGGTTGAAGCTGTTACTAACTAGCAAAGACCTACGAGTGTTGGAGACGTGAGAAGCTTTCTAGGTTTGGCTGGATACTATTGGCGATTTATAGAAGGTTTCTCTAGGATAGTGAGTCCCTTGACACAACTATGTCAAAAGGGTGTTGAGTTTGTATGGTCCGAAAAGTATTAACAGAGCTTTCAAGAATTGAAGGATAGATTAGTGTCCGCTCTAGTGCTAGCAATCCCAGAGGAATCAGAGGGATTTTTTTATCTATAATGATGTGTCTAAGTAAGGTGGAAGGGTGATAGCCAATGCATCAAGACAATTAAAGAAATATGAGAAAAAATATCCGACGCGATTTAGAACTTGCAGCAGTAGTTTAGCTCTCAAGATTTGGCGTCATTACTTGTATGGAAGCAAGTGTCAAATTTACGGTGACCATAAGAGACCCAAGTACTTCTTTATTCAGAAAGAATTAAATATGTGACAATAACGATGGTTGGAGATAGTAAAAGATTATGATTATACCATCCTTTATCAC